TCAATACAACTCCTACCTTGATCAGGGGCGCGCTAAGTACTTGACAAAAAATCTTCTTGGTGGCCTTCTTATTTATCTTTTGGGGTGCATGATCTCACTATTCAACATACCACCATAGACTATGACTTCCATGTCGACGGCAAAGAAAAAAGTATTTTTGTGGCTCCTGACTGCTCCACCTCCAGTTGTTGTCGTTACTTTCGTCTTCTTGGGCTTGCCCTGTGAGCAGGGGGTCCATCACACATGCAACATCACTAGGACATCTGTGACTTCTTCAAAAAAAGCGTATGACCAGACCATTTCGTTCGTCGTCATGCAGTTTGAGTTGTCGCTGCACGACTTGTTGACGACGATCTTCATAACGATCTAGTCAATACTAGGCTGGTAACACTTTAGCCATACCACAACTAGGATGATATCAAGCTTATCATCGAGGTCGAGTAGAATCAACCCGTCTTCACCTCGGGAATTCTTAACTTCATTGCCATGCGAATGACTTGCTTTAGCATCTTCATTCTAGATCCACATGCTCAACAAATGATCTTTTCTCCTTTCACATCGGGCAGGCTAACACCATGCCCAGTCACAAGTTGCGCTCGGATAAGATTGTTCGGCGCTTCAGTGCCAATCAAAGCTCTTGGTGGTTTGCTAATACCGTCTACAAAGACTTCTTGGACAATCAAAGCCGCATTTTGCCTGACACTATAATCACTCATAGTGGAAACTGCATGTGCGTCATGCACGTTGGGGCTAGCGTCCTGTGTACCCACACATCCACAAAAGTCTTCTCGGGCCCAGTAAGGAGCCCCTCCTCTGCTGGCCGCTCCCGCTTTTTTATCCTTGGGAGCGCTCAGACTGACAATATCTATAGCGTCCGCAGTTATCCGAACGGTCTCCCTGTGTCTGTCGCCAACCCGGTAAAGACATCTCAAGCAATATAATCCGGCTTTCAACAACGGAAACACTTTCTATCGTTGCGAGGACGCTCACTTCCAGGCGTGAAAATGTACGAGATGCCCATCGGCTTTGCACCATCACTCGTACCAGACAATTGATGCGCTTGTCTTTGTACGAAGCCATTGAGCTTGGCTTGCTTGATGCTGAACTATTCTTGAATCGCACGGTTGATGGCATCGTCCAACGTCTTGGGATTTTCACGGAGAGGTTTAATTCGTTTTGGCCCATCGTTCAAACTCGCCATGAACGTTACAACTTGCGTTGTAACATTGATTGGCTCGACGATAATACTTGATACCAAGTAGCGAGCACGCTGTGCATACGAGTGTTGGTCGTAACGACATGTACGAAGCTTCAAAAACTCGGCACGGGCACACGACTTACTTTGTGGCAATTCAAACGCCTTCGTTAGCTCGATCTTTAAGTGTTCGTAGCTGGGAAAGCAGTTTAGATCGGCCTAGCGCTTACCATATGACCAAATCTTTGCACGACCCGCAAGGCTAGGCATCTCGAACAACACTCGCTGCAAGGGGTCTCGCAGTTGTCTTACAGTGATTGCTGCATACGACCCGACAAATCATCGCGAGAGAGCTCGTTATCTCAATCTCGACCAGTCGAGCCTCAGAGGCATCGTTCTGTACGAAGAAACAAGGGTTGCGACCTGCTTTCGAGATTCCATAATTTCATGATGCATGAAACAGACGACCGTGTTCGTCTTGTCGTCCAGAGAAAACGACTGCAGTAAGCTGACTACAGCAGCTTCGTCGATGACTTCTTGCATCCGTTCGAGTGCCATTCACTCATTTGTCAACACCTCAGTTGCGATACTGATGAACCGATAAGTACTCCAATTCCCTCCATGTCGCTCAGAGAAGGACAAATATATGGCTTGTGCTGGAATACACGACGTGCTCAGCAGCCGCGTCACTAAAACAAAGTCGAGTTTCGCTGAAAGACCGCTCGTAGTGCTACCAAATGTAAGAGGGCGCTATTCCCAACAGTTTCTCAAACACAATACACACGCTTCTGCGACGAGGAGGCGATTTGCGACGTGAAGAAAATAGGATAGTCCCGACTTGGAGAGAAGAAGAACGACTTGGCGCCGTTAAGTTAAATTTGCAACTGAATGATAATGATTATGGGTTCCTAGCTACATGTAAAACACCCCAAGGGCTCCTAGATGTTTACTAACAAAGCCTTGGTTTCTTGATCTATAAAATTAAGGGTGTGCTAAGGTAGAGCCTCAGCTTAATCTTAAACACGATCTTGGGTATAGGAGTTTGAATCTTCGTGAAAAGTATCCAGTAGAAGTGACTGGCTTACGCCACCCATTCGAAACGCAGATACACGTCGGTCTCGTCAACAGTACAGATCTTACTTAGGAACCAACATTCTGAATCACACAGAATGTTTGTGACTTCATGTAAATGGCAGCTATGCATTTGACCATAATGTAACTCCTTTGATAAATTCCGACAGTGCATACATAAGGTACATAGAGTACCTTCATGTCATGGCTAAGTGTAGTCAAGTACAGATAGTGACGTGGTACAGTAAAAGGGGTGACATTCGTGGCTGCAAGCGCAAAACGCTTGCTTTCCTGATTTTAGCTTTTTCAATTTGAGCGGCGATTTCATGTAGTCGGTGCCGCTTCAACTTTTGCCGTAGGCTGTGCTTTACTTTATGCGGAAATCAATGAACACGAATGCATCATAGCGTTTAGAACTTGCCATTTTAAAGTGGCATAGATGAAGAAATATCCTCTTCATGACAAAAAGCTACCTGGTATGACGTGTGCTTTATCACCTTGAGACATTTATGATTGCATCAAATCATACCTTTGCACACAGCGACGTTGTCACCGCAAATCTTGCAAAAAATAACTGGATTTTTTTAATACAGATCCTTTCGTGATAAAATGAATGTCGAGTCAGCATCATGTTGTTGGCGATGCGCTTTGCGTCGCCTAAACGTCGAGCTATCGCCCTTCACGACGATGACGCCACACATCGATAAGGCGATACACACAGAGGTGCAACATGTGTTCAGAAGTTTTATGTTTGAGTTTTATGCTTGACTTCTGCTTTGCGACGCGTTTTGTTTAGCGTTTGTCCCACTACTACCGGCTCAAGGTTGTCGAGATTCAGCACTAACGTGGTCAACACTCAGCGTGGCGATATTTCATGCTCACGACCACAAAGATAGAATACCCTTCGGTGGTCATCTCGGTAAGAAGAACTGACAAACCTCGGTGCGTCATATGTACTGACAGTTCATCTTATATTAATGGGTAAGCACTTTGATGGGCACGCGCGAGACTTGTCAACATGTTAATTCCTCGCCGTATGCGTCTTCATCCATGACCAACCTAAATGTGTTAGTATTCCACTAGTAGTCTTAATTTCTCGGTCGCTCAAAAGACAGCTGTGTCTTTGGAGAAGTCTGTGCAAGATAGCTTATTTCGCTGCTATCAGCGCTACAGATAAGGACTCGGCCAGTATTCTTTAGCAACACTTTTTTGTCAACAGGGCTGCCGGTGACAATTGTATCAAATAGAATTCCGTACTCTACAGCTATTCGAGCAAACTTATATCCAGATGTTAGGTGCTCAATTGGGCATGTCCACCGCTGACCATTTACAGACAAATGATAAGATGGAACATGATCATAAAACCTTTCGAATGATTTGCGCAAAACCACCGCGGTGCTGGAGCAAAGTCCTCCCATCCATTCAGTTTGCGTTAAATAACTCTCTATATGCCGCTTCAAGCTTTCATGTAATGTAGTCAGATAAATTACCTGTAATCCCCAAACTATTTGATTTCGCCAAAAAAAATGGCTCCTGTCTTGATGGTCTAACCAACGTCTGTCGATACAATGCGACTTCCTGATATTAGTGCGGCTACATTTCGAAGCAAAATTGAGAATTCTTTCCTGACAAGAATACACACCGCGCGAGTGCGCAGCTACGAATGAGAATCAGTATGGGCAAACGCAACATGTACAGATGGACAAATTCACATATGAATTGGCAGTGGGAAAAGGTTTGTTTAGATTGTGGTTTTCCTACCTGCACTGAGTTGTAAATTCGATAAATCGAATCATTTACGGTTGTTACTGGAAAGTGATAAAGGTATACTCCAACATCCTGCAGAGAATGCAATACATCTAACGTGAACTTATCGAAGCCGTAGAACAACCTTAGCTATACGATTTATTTGACTGGTGCAACGTTTTGACTTATCTTTACGCCATGCTTTTTGAGCCGTAGCACGACCTTACCCATACGATCCATTTAGCGGTGTAGAAGTTGGTGAAACCTTTTGACCATCATTTTGCTGAGCTATCAAGGGCAGCGGTGCGGCTCTGGGCCGCTTGGGGTATACTAAGCTACTTCGCACGATCGCTCAGCTTGGAGAGCGTAAACAAAGAGAAACTCATGTCAGATGCAGGTGCACTCCTAGATTCTCGAAAGGAGTCGACGTGTCGCTTCTAAGAATCAGGAAAATCAACCACGATTGGCTGTCGTCAACTCTTAACTCACTTCCTTGTGGGATGGATGTTTGACCAGCGGGAGAATTGTAACCAGAATATGAAGAGGTGGAAAATATATTCTCCCTCCGTAGGCTCACGGGAGTTTAAGGTCTTATTCACCAGAATTGCTAGGCGCCGTTAGCCACTTAAGCCTTGGCAACCTCTGCCGGGGTCGCCAAGCGCAACGCACATTGCAGAGTCTCGCGTTGTCTCAAGCTCAAGACGTGATCGATAGCTGCACCATCAGGAAACAAGAACGTTTTTTTTAAATAATAAAACGTTGTGCATTATATCAAGCATTAAATCCTTTTTAGTCTAATATTTGCTACAAGGAAGCTGACGTGCAATGCCAAGCAGCATGCGCTCTTCCTGTTAGCGCGAGTTGATTATGATACTATCAAAAAAATTCTGTCTTTCTAAAAAAATCTAGACTTACTGGTTTCAACAAGAAAATCTGAATTCAATGAAATGATTGGATAGATTGATGTTTCTAAAAACTATAATTGACAATGGCGGCTGTGACTGGAAGTGTCGTGATCGTGCAGAGCATAGCGCAGTTTGACGAGGCGACGGCGCGCGAGTCAACAATATCTGTGACATTTTTCTGGGCTGATTTCCACGATGCTTGTCGTCCTAATGGACAGCTCGACGTGGTGGTGCGTCAGCTGGCGACGTTGCACCCTCGCATTCGTTTTTTTAAAGTAGCAGCTGAGGAGCTTCCCGAACTCTCGGAGCGATTTCAAATCGAAGTCGTCCCTACTTTTGTCATTGCACAGGGTCGTTCTGTACTGGATAAGCTTGAAAATGCTAATGTGGCGGATCTGGCGAAACGCGTAGATGTGTTGAGCAAGAGTGTGGTTCAGAACTCTACTCTTGCTGCCACAACAAAGGAACCTGCGAAAGCATTGGATGAGGCACTACAGTATCGTTTACAAAAGCTTATTAGTGCATCTCCTGTTATGCTCTTTATGAAAGGCAATCCGAGTGAGCCTAAGTGCGGCTTTAGTCGTCAAATTGTAGCACTATTGAATGACGAAAAGATTCAATTTGGTTCATTTGACATTCTTAATGACGATCAAGTGCGTCAAGGATTAAAGGAATATTCAAACTGGCCGACATATCCACAGCTATATGTAAATGGTAAACTTGTTGGTGGATTGGATATATTGAACGAAATGAAGTCGGAAGGATCGATTGCTGAACAGTTAAAACTCAAGAAGAATGTAGAGGAAGCGGAGGCTGCGTTTGAAGAAGGGTTACGTGCACTTGTGAACTCAGCGCCTGTTCTGCTTTTTATGAAAGGCACACCGTCCGAACCAAAGTGCGGCTTTAGTCAAAAGACCGTCAAGTTGCTACGTGAACATGAAATCGCCTTTAGCTCGTTTGACATTTTAAGTGATGACCAAGTGCGTCAGGGACTTAAAAAGTTCTCGAATTGGCCGACATACCCACAATTATATGTGAAAGGAAAGCTTATTGGTGGTCTTGACATCCTTAACGAAATGGCAGAAGATGGCGACCTGAGTGAACAACTTGGTGTAGATAAAAAGACGAAAAAGGAAAACAAGTACCACCAACTAATTAATCGCGCACGTGTCATGATCTTTATTAAAGGAACACCAAAGCAACCGCAGTGTGGATTCAGCCGGAAGCTTGTCGAAATTCTTGATACGGAAGGTTTTAAGTATGACTACTTTGATATTCTATCGGATGATAGCATCCGTCAGGGATTGAAAAAGTATTCAAACTGGCCCACGTTTCCTCAACTTTATGTCAATGGTGAATTGATCGGCGGTCTGGATATTGTGCAACAATTGCAGGAAGATGGCGAATTGGAAGAGCTCAAGGAATAAGGACGTCTCTTGGTTTGAATACAAAGTCACATGGGTTATGATGATTTCTTTGATCAGATCATAAGTATCAAATGTTTTTTATGCGCATAATCAGGTAAAAATCTGCGTGACAATGCCAGCAGCTAGCGTTTTGCCGCGATCGCGGAGTGTAAAGCGTCCGAGTTGTCGGTAATTAGCAAACACTTCGAGGCAAATTTTGCGCTTGGCTGTAATTTGAATTACTGCCGAGCGCTCGCGCGATATACATCGCGGCTTTTTCTTTTCCACTTCCCCTGTTTTGGTCAAAACACTCACTAATCGAGTGATGTTACCTGGCTCGTCAATATTGTGCATATGAATCGTCACAGATGTCCCTTTGACTATAGGCACTTCGACCGCTGGCATAGTCATAATCTTAGCTTCGAATCTTTGAGCAAGTTGAACTGGTGATGCAATCGAGCACAAAATGCTGCCAGTACTGATACAAACAAGTCAACTGAGTGCTTTCTATCGAAAACATAGAGCAAATTCTTTCGTACGTTAGAGCTGATGGATCAATTCCACTCACACCCATTTCAATCGTGTCTCCAGCACGAGCAAGTGTGCATGTCTTGCCATCCTGCTCCATACCTAAACGTAATGCATCAGTATTACCAAATGCATGTTAAAAAAACTACCAAACTCTCACCTTTTACAGTCAAAGCTTCTCCAATTGGCATTAAAAGGAACTACAAAGCAGAAGAATCATCACAGTCGATACAAGTTTACACGATAGAAACACGAAAACGTATAACACGTACGGAATTGCCTACTGCTACAGCACCAGTGTAAACACGTCCAGAGATTGTTTGGCCAAGAC